TGAGCCTCAGAAGGAGGAATATTTCAGGAAGAGAATCAGTGAGCAGCATCAAGCCAGCAGAATCATCTCACACATCAGAAGAGCAAGAAGCCTCCACATCATGTGCCACATCCCCGTCTTCTGCTGGATCTCATCCACTGTGCTTCAGAAGCTCCTGGAAGAAGATCTGAGTGCAGAAATCCCTCAAACTCTGACTGAAATGTACATCCACTTCCTGCTGATTCAGATCAACATGAGGAACCAGAAGTATGAAGACAGAGATCCAGAGAAACTCCTGCAGTCAAACAGAGAAGTGATTGTGAAACTTGCTGAAGTGGCTTTCAAACAGCTGATGAAGGGCAATGTGATGTTCTATGAGGAGGACCTGATTGAGAGCAGCATAGACGTCAGAGACGCCTCAGTGTATTCTGGGATTTGCTCTGAGATCTTTAAGGAGGAATATGTGATTCATCAGAGGAAAGTCTACAGCTTCATTCATCTGAGTGTTCAGGAGTTTCTCGCTGCTTTCTATGTGTTTTACTACCACATAAGCAGCACTACAGAAGCATGCTTAGATTCACTACATAATCTGCATAAAAGAGCAGTAGATAAAGCCCTTGAGAGTAAGAATGGACAGCTGGATCTGTTCCTGCGGTTTCTGCTGGGCGTCTCGCTGGAGTCCAATCAGAGACTCTTACAGGATCTACTGACACACACAGAGAACAGCTCAGAGAGCATCAGGAAAACCACACAGTACATTAAAGAGAAGATCAAAGATGGACATGGACTCTCCACTGAAAGATCCATCAATCTGTATCAACTGCACAAAAGCCCTGTGAGTGTTTAAATGTTACAATAAAGAATCATTTTTAAATGAAATTTTAGTTTTGTTGTGCAGACTAATGCATATTGAGTATAATTTGTAGAATGTCTTTGACTAGAGCTGATATTAGCTGATATTATCGAAATACAAACTGTAGAATTATTATTTTTTGTTTTGTTTTACTCCGTTTCAGTTTTGCTGGTTGTAATCTCACTACTCAGGATTGTGAAGTTGTGTCATCAGCTCTACAATCCTCAAACTCTGTCCTGAGAGAGCTGGATCTGAGTAACAATGACCTGCAGGATTCAGGAGTGAAGCTGCTCTCTGATGGACTGAAGAGTTCAAACTGTCAGCTGCAGATACTGAGGTGTGTAAGAAGGACGATGTACTGTCAGTCTGTGATAATGTTGATATGTCTCTGTAGATGATCTGTTTGTGTGTCTGTAGATGATCTCATCTGTGTGTGTCTGTAGGTTGTCTGGCTGTATGGTGACAGAGGAAGGCTGTGGTTATTTGTCTTCAGCTCTGAGTTCAAACCCCTCACACCTGAGAGAGCTGGATCTGAGCTACAATCACCCAGGACCATCAGGAGTCCAGTTGCTCAAACACAAACTGGAGGTTCCAAACTATAAACTGCAGATACTCAAGTATGTGGGACAGTATTTATTTATTTTTTTCAAATTTTACACTATCACTCTAAAAACAAAAAGGTTCTTCAGCGGTTCTTTGGAGTGGTTAAGGTGCTCTATAGCACCACTCCCATATAAAGAAACTGTTAAGCCCCTGTATGGTTCTTCAGCGGTTCTTTGGAGTGGTTAAGGAGCTATATAGCACCACTACCATATAAAGAACCTGTTAAGCCCCTGTATGGTTCTTCAGCGGTTCTTTGGAGTTGATGAGGTGCTATATAGCACCACTACCATAAACCCTGAAAGCCCCTGTATAGTTCTTTAAAGATTCTTTAACTCTCAATTAGTCTCATAGTTTAGTTGGGGAAAGGGTTAAAACAACATTAAAATACAGTCTATTTCTTGGAGATATATATATTTTTTTGCCCCCAAGGCCCCCCATAAGGAAATATTCCAGGGCCCCCACATGAGACCTTTGACCTAAAAAAAAGGACCTCTCCACAAACAGCAACACCAACTTCACACATTACTAACCAGTTAGACTTTATTTCTGGAGTATCTAAAACAGAAATTCTTTATTCAGAATTAAGGTTTAGATGGTTTTTTTTTCAACTTACCATTTTGGTGAATAGTGTTTGCTTTAATTGCCTCTTGACCCTTGACTTTAATTTAAAGTTAAAGTAGGTTTCTCTTTGGCTGTTACAATAGTGATTATAAAGCACATGTCTGATGGCTAGGAACTTATGGTAAAAATAATTTGTCTGTGGTTGCATTTTATCAAAATCTGTAGTTCTTTTATGAGTTCTATATTATTGCAGTTCTATGATACAACATGACAATGTGAGAAAATTGTATAAACCACCTTTAGAATTATGGGTTATAAAGAGGTTTCAATTCTGTCACTCTTAGACGTAAAGAATCAGCATGTGAATCTCAGCAATAGTGACAACATATTCTGATAATTTTGATATGATTTTTGAACATCACAAAACAGGGCATTAAAAAGTCACAACAAAAATAAAAGCAAATAGTAAGAATAAAAGAAAATACTAAGACATAATTTATTCATGTCGCAGTGCATGCTGGGAGCCATGGATGAGTTATGATTGGTGCACCATTGTTGAGAAAAAGTGCTATATGGCACCTCTTATGGCACCTCTTATGGTTCTACATGGCACCATTTGACAAAGTGCTATATAGCACCTGTAAAAATAGGTGCTAAATAGCACTAAAAGTGGTTCCCCTATGATTACAAGCCAAAGAACCACTTTTAGTGCTATATAGTACCATTTAATATCAGTTGAGCAATATTAAGTCAACAGCTGTCGGTTGTGCATCATGCCTACCAGCATATTTTTAATGGTATTAATCAATTAACAAAACTGCTCTTTATCTTGCAGAACCAAATCAATTGTGTTGCACTTGATAATAGTTTTTAAGGTAGTTGAAGAAGTTGCAACATTTCTTCAATGGATTTAATCTTTAGTCTCAATGGCTTCTGTCTGAATGGTTACATTGTTTGCAAAGGGACTGTTTGGAAATCAAAAACAGATTTTTACAGTTGAGGTTAAGAGTTTAATACTTTCTGCAAAAGGATAATAGAATAAGAAGGCTCATAACATTTTTTTTTTAATACCTGAATAATCAATTTCTCATTACAAATGCCAACATATAGTCCACAAGACAAAATAATAATTGAGTTTACACAAATGACCCAGTTTAAACCTTTACGTATGATATACTGTGCATTGTTACCTGGATGATCTTGTTTTTTGTAATAATTACTCATGAGTTAAACTGCCCAGTTTTCTTCAGTAAATTTCTCCAGACTCTGCAAATTCTTTAGTTTTTCAATATCATCTGCATTTTTTGAACCCTTTCCAACAGTGGCTATAATATTTTGAGATCTGGCTTTTGGGGTCTAATATACTCTTGCTGTGTTCTGGATCCTATTAGTTTTGATAAGCTGATCTGTCTTTAGAGGTCTATAGCTATTAGGCAATTTATTAGACTGTTTCCTACCAGAATCCTGTATTAGGCTACTTTGTTTTCTGTTACTTTGTACACTGATGATTTACATTTACATTACATTTAGCAGACACTTTTATCCAAAGCGACTTACAAATGAGGACAATGGAAGCAATCAAAATCAACAAAAGAGCAAAGATATGCAAGTGCTATAACAAGTCTCAGTTAGCTTAATGCAGTACACGTAGCAAGGTTATTATTTTTTTTATTATATAATAAATAAAAAGAAAACAGATAGAATAGAAAAATAATAGAGCAAGCTAGTGTTAGAGGCCCTTGTTTGCTTTTGTTAATTGTAAAATAAATAAAAAGAAAACAAAGGAAAATTACAAAAAGATTAGAGAAGCTAGAGTTAGATTTTTTTTTAAGAAAACAAGAAGTTAGTAAATTCATTTTTGCAAGTCTAAAACGGGAAAGTTTATTTTTTTATAAAGAATAGAATTAGAATAGAGATAGCTAGAGTTACAGTCAAATAAAGATGGAAGAGATGCGTTTTTAGCTGATTCTTGAATATGGCTAAGGACTCAGCTGCTCGGACTGAGTTGGGCAGGTCATTCCACCAGGAGGGAACATTTAATGTAAAAGTCTGTAAAAGTGATTTTGTGCCTCTTTGGATGGCACAATAAAGCAACGTTCACTTGCAGAACGCAAGCTTAGAGACACATAAGTCTGAGCCAGTGGTGGTTTTGTAGGCAAACATCAATGACTTGAATTTTATGCGAGCAGCTATTGGTAGCCAGTGCAAATTAATAAACAGAGGTGTGACGTGCATTCTTTTCGGCTCATTAAAAATTAATCTTGCTGCTGCGTTCTGGATTAATTGTAAAGGTTTGATAGAACTGTCTGGAAGACCTGCTAAGAGAGCATTGCAATAGTCCAGCCTGGACAGAACAAGAGCTTGAACAAGGAGTTGTGAAGCATGATCCGAAAGAAAGGGCCTGGACTTCTTGATGTTGAATAAAGCAAATCTGCAGCACTGGACAGTTTTAGCAATGTGGTCTGAGAAAGTCAGCTGTTTTTGAAGGAGTTATGGTTGATGTGCCTAACTGGATGGTGAAATTGTGATGAAACGACAAGCAGTTCTGTCTTGGCAAGATTGAGTTGAATGTGATGGTCCTTCATCCAGCAAGAAATGTTTGTTAGACAAGCTGAGATGAATCAGAATCAGCTTTATTCGCCAAGTAAAACACACAAGGAATTGTTGTGGTTTTTAAGAAGCTCTTGGTACTTACATGCATACATATATACATACAGTGGGTACGGAAAGTATTCAGACCCCCTTACATTTTTCACTCTTTGTTATATTGCAGCCATTTGCTAAAATCATTTAAGTTAATTTTTTTTCCTCATTAATGTACACACAGCACCCCATATTGACAGAAAAACACAGAATTGCTGACATTTTTGCAGATTTATTAAAAAAGAAAAACTGAAATATCACATGGTCCTAAGTATTCAGACCCTTTGCTGTGACACTCATATATTTAACTCAGGTGCTGTCCATTTCTTCTGATCATCCTTGAGATGGTTCTACACCCTCATTTGAGTCCAGCTGTGTTTGATTATACTGATTGGACTTGATTAGGAAACCCACACGGGAAAACTGTTTTTATGCCTAGATGCTCTAGTGCACAGAGATCTGTAGCGTCTGCCTGAGGGGAGAAGTGCAAACAGGTTGTGTCCGGGATGAGAGGGGTCTTTGATGATGTTGCCTGCCCGTTTCTTCACTCTAGAGTTTTACAAGTCCTGAAGATTGGGCAGGTGGACACCAATGATCCTTTCTGCTGTCCCACAATCCGCTGCAGTCTTCTTATATCTGATTTGCTGGCTGACCCAAACCAGACAGTTATAGAGGAGCACAGAACTGACTCAATAACAGCTGAGTAAAACTGTGTCATATGCGCCTGTGGCAGATTTAACTTTTTTCAGTTGACGAAGGAAATACAACCTCTGCTGAGCCTTCTTCACGATGGAGTCAATGTGAGTGTCCCACTTCAGGTCCTGTGAG